ATGGAGTACCCAGGCACCCAGATCCATGATAACATGCATGTGCCTAACTCAGCTAGTACATGCGTGGGGTTTATGCGTATATGCATGCGCAGCAATTTTCTAGCCTGATTTTTCTTATAGTAATTAATAAGAAATTCGGTACCATTAGTAGTCGGTTTTGCACGTTAAAGGCGATATACCCATATAGGGACTTTCTACGTACGTACACTTTCTACGTCCACGTGTGGGTATTATTAACCGGTAGTCAAAAAAATTCTACTCCTATTAGTTTGAGATGGTTCGTCGTTAGGAGCTTCTACTATTAAGAAGCTGAACATAATAAAAAAAATTTCCTCACTTGATCTTTTTTGTCATTATACAGAAATATGAGTATATACCCCGGTCTGGCCTAACTAGCCCGACGGTGGGGTAGAGGTGCGATCACACTGGACTCCCACCAATATGTCTGAGAGTAAGGGATGTTTGGTTGGTTGTGTTTCTTTGCCAAGCTACAATTTAGTCATGTCACAACTTCCTAGGCATGTGTTTGTTTCGCCGTCACAACTATATCATGCCACACTTTCTTAACCTTTGGCCGACTTTTTTTTAAGATAATAGAAGCTTTATTAAGACTCAATCAATTACACCAAGATGGTACAATCCAACTGAGCCAACCCCCGGCCTTTGTATAAAATGCACACATCTAAAAAGGAACCATAAAAGAAAAAACCTCATCTCAAGCACAGGAGTGTGAAGGAAACATAAAATTAGTGGTTATCAATCCATAGACTAGACCACCACCCATGCACCTAGATAAAAAAATTACTGCGCCACCTGGTCCAAACATCATGATACCACTGCAATAGTATCCCGGTTTGTGGAGTATATTCCAGGTGTGTAGCCACCGAGTAACTAAAGTAATAACCTGCAAAGGAGAAGACACCATTTTGTTATCAAACAACAACTCATTCCTGCTTAGCCAAATGGACCAACAAAGAGCTACTGCGCCCATCAAAAGATGATTTCTTATGTCTTTAGGAACACGTAAAAGCCAAAGCCCAAACATATAAGTTACATTTCGAGGAGATTTTAAATTTGAAGCCATTCGAATAATAGACCACACCAAGCAGGAAAGATGACATTGGAAGAAGAAATGTTGGATGGTTTTGTCTTTATGACAAAAGCAACACTTTCTTACTACCTTGCCCGACATGTCATACTCTTAAACTTGTGCTAACTATGCCACACTTTTGACCAACTATTTATTGGCCACATTTTTTCCACTATGCCACAACTTGGCTAAGCTTAGTTATAACAATGTAGGCATAGGGATGGTAACGAGGCTACACCTGTCGGGTTCAATTATCCTATTCCCATCCCTATTAAGAAGGAAATCAATCTACCCCATCCCCGCACTCGGGGAAGGGTTTCCCCTATCACTGTCCCCGCATAGGGTTCGAGGCACACCCACCGAATAGTAGGAGTGCAGCAGGCCAGTATGCGGCAGCCATGGCGCACTCCTGCCGCTGCTGCTTGGACGCGTCATAGCATCAGGTCTTGCTTGGAGGCAACAATGACAACATGATGCGTATGAAACCAATGTGGATGCATTAGCCATGGCACGACGCGAATGCTCAGCATGGATGTGGCGGTGCAAATGTTTAGCATGGAGAGGACGCGATGAGGAGGCGTGGATCCAGTGGCACGGTGCAAAGGACGAGACGAGGACACGGGTTGGTCGCCTGGAGTCTTGGCAGGCTTGATCTAGAGCACTCAAGAGGAGGGGATAATATGCCTAGGGTTTCCTTACTTTCTATACGAGGGACTTGTGAATTGGGCCTCTCCTAAGTGGACTTATAATTTTTATATGGATTGTGCGCTCAAGCAATATGCACATATGCCTACCATACTCAGGGGCTCATGGGAAATTAGGGACGGGGGGCTAGGGAACGTCCTCGTTCCCACTTCCCCAATGCAGACATATTTTGCCCGACAACAACCCCCATGGGTGATGATTTTATCCCATTTACATGCCCTATAGAGTAATCCCCACCGGGGTTCAGGACCCCTACCATCCCTAGTCAGGCATCAACCAAACATTCCCTCAATAGTACACAACGCTACGATATAGGCATCTAGATAGGATCTTTATTTTAAGAGGCATCCTTAATTTCCATAAAACATTATTACTCTCTATATAACCATTGTTGATCAAGGCTAAATATATAGAATGGACCAAAAATTAATTAACCACTGTGATGAAGATTCCATCTAAACATACTTTTATTATCATTTAGATTAATCTGCACAATATAAGCAACCAAGTTATGCCATAGCACAAGGTTTTGACCCACAAATGCCCTTCAAGATACATTGTGTGTAACAGAATTCAAAACAATTGCAATTGATGCACTTTTTCTACGAACTAACTTATATAGAAAAGGGTATTGCTCCTTGAAAGAAGAATTATCAATCCACTTATCTTCCCAGAATTTGATTTGTTAAATCCAACCCCCCCTACAAATCACTAATCATTCCAATCTCCTACCCTCAACTTAATAAAATCATCGATTGTATACTATAAAAAAGTATGTATTAAATCTCATGCCCAATAAGAGAAGACATAGGGAACAACTTCGCTCACCATGCTAGCGATGCACGATGGGATAAATCACTAGTACAGATCCTTCTATCTGTGACGGGCTCTAATATGCTTAGAAATAGCGGGCCGTCACAAGGAAGTCATCTCAATCGGGCCGAAAAGTGCCCGATTGAGATATGGTCGCACAGACATGTTAGATGGGTATAAAACTTAAGCCCGTCACGGATGACACCTATCAGTGACGGGCCACAACTTTAGGCCCGATTGAGATAACATTCCATATCTCAAACGGGCCTAAAGTTGTGGCCCGTCACAGATGACCATCATTTGTGACGTGCACCAACTTGAGGCCCGTTTGAGATAACAACTAGGCCCGTCACAGATGACTCATCAGTGACGGGCTATATACTTAATCTCTATCGAGCATTAAGAGATATGTGTTATATATTATTCACAAATTTTACATATATGTGTTATAGTTTATAAAACCAGATAAGAGATATGTCAATTTTGTAAACAATGTTACTATCACTTTGTCGTATGAAGAAATGACCAAAATAAAAGTTTTAGATCTTGATGAGTTATTCAACTTTGTTGTGGATGACTTTTTCAATTGATATCATTTAGTATTTGAAAATGTTGTTTGAAGTTGTCATATTTTCAAATTCAAATTCAAACGGTTCAAAAAATGTTATATAGAAAAATGACCAAAATAAAAGTTATATATTTTGATGAGTTATACAACTTTGTTGTTGATGACTTTTTCAGTTGAAGTCGTTCACTGATCTAAAATTCTATTTGAACTTTTCAAACTTTGAATTTCAAATTTCAAATTGTTTAAATAGAGTCAGATGGAGAAATTACCAAAATAAAAATTTTGCACCTCGATGAGTTCTACAACTTTGGTTTTGGTGACTTTTCCATTTGAAATCATTTAATAACCCCAATTTGACATCCTGGCCTAGGGCATAATAGGATTAATAGAATACTCATACCAACATGTTACAATTACTTTTCCGGAAGCCAATCTCTAAAGAACTTTGACGTTAAGTGTGCTTGGTCTGGAGTAATTTCGAGATGGGTGACCGACCTTTCTCATCTGTGACGGGCTATAATTAATGCCCGTCACAGTCACAGATGACTCATCTGTGACGGGCTATAGTTAATGCCCGTCACAGATAAGGGTCATTTGGCGCTAGTTGTGGCCCGATTGAGATAGCTCTTCACATCAGTGACTTCTAGCCTGTGACGGACGCCATGCCCGATTGAGATGGGGCTTACCGCTCGATTGAGATGAGGGTATCCGTTCTAGTGAATCACTGAGCACATAAAAGCTAGATAGAGGTGGCACGTTGTAAGAGAAAATGGACCTTTGAGGAGTATTTTGTACGAAATTAAGCTATAGGCGGGAGATTGGAAAGGACGGTGACTTGTAGGGGATTATTTGGGTTTTCCAAATATTAATAATGAAAGTGCACATACTTAAGAACTTGTCTTTTCATAAGTCCCGACAAAAAATGAGAATCACCAGACATTTTCACAACTTGTATAATTGACTAATTATTTACATATTTCCTTCTAAGTAAACTCTGCCAAAGAGCATCCTCATTTATCAACATGAAAAGCTTGACTACAATTGTTATGGTGGAGCTTGAGGGCTGCATTGGACAAATTCTAGGGTAGCGAGGCGAGGGAGCTCAAGGATGGCGGTCTGGGATTGGGTGCACGTACGTGAGAGATCGAGAGCCGTGGCCAGCGCACAAACTCGATGGCGGCAGCTGGGGGTGAGAGCTTGAGAGTCGCGACCTTGGGGAGTTCAATGCATGCAGTGGCTTGGCACAAGGGCACGGTGGTGGCCAACACAACTGTGGCAACTGCGGGGGGATCGAACTTGAGGTTGGCGGCAATGGGTGACCTCATGCCATGAGGAGTTTGAGGGTGGCAGCCTTTTGCAATCTCGCAGCTGCTAAAATTGAACTCAAGAAGAAAGGGGGATCGATGGAGCTGGCCGGCTGCCCTGTCCATGCCTGAACTCGATTGCCTAAGATGGAGATGAACAAGCTAGTGGAAAATGGAGGTAACATTACAGGTATTTAACTTCTTTTTTTTTTTGCGGGGAGGTATTTAACTTCTTACTTTTGAAGGAAATGAAAATGAAGGACACTTCATAGAAATTCGGACGGAATGCTATATGGAGGAACGTTAAACTTAGGTGATTTTTGGTGATATTAAAATGGTTTAGATCTTTCAAATGTTATATATGTAATTAAGCTTATAACTTCCGGCGCTACATAACTAATTTTGCCCTATAACTAACCTACAGTTGACCTGACCCAGTAATGATCAGTACACCAAAAAGAATCTACAAATCCAGTCATCTGTTGCTTTTTCATGAAATGGTGGATGCCATCAGAAAACATTCATCCATCTATATAAGCTTATTATATATAGTAATTCATCAGTAGTAATTTCTGTTCCGGTAATGGTTTGTGCGTCCACAATTAGTAGCATAACGGGAAAAGAAATTACAAATAGTACTGGGTCACCTTGCTAGTTAATCGGCTATATATTACAAATTAAATTAATTAGTAAATTGTACATCCCTTAATTAGCTTGAGCGTCCATTACGTACATCGGTTAAGTTAATACGTACCACATTAATTAATTACCGACACATTGAGCATTTGATTTGAGCAGCTATAGTAGCTAGCTAGCACCTCAGCGATGCATGCATGGAACCATATGGATCATCACTATTCGGAGCTTGGAGGTGCAGGAGGGAAGCTAGCTGCCGCACCGCCATGGCCTGCAAAACCTTGCTGCCCTTCCTCGCTGAAGCTGCCGGCGGCGCCCTGGTCCACATCCGGCGCTGCTCCTTGCTGCCACGCCGGGTCCCACGCCGGAACATGCCACGCCGGCATCATCGGCGCCGGCTGCCCCATCGGCGGGTAGTAGTACGGCAGCCCCGCGGCGGGGCCGGCCGCTCCAACGGCGCCGGCGGGCCCTCCCGCCGCGAACCCGAGCGCGCTGCCGGGCTCCTCCTTGGCCTCCTCCCGCGGCACGATGTCGACGAGGAAGTCGAACACGTCGGTGCGCGCGATGGCGGCGGCGACGTCGTTGCGCTGCAGGGTGCGGCGCTTGTTCTCCTCGGCGTGCAGCCACGAGCGGATGGTGAGCTCCAGGATGAAGAGCTCGCACGCCTTGGCGAACAGCACGGGCGCCTCCGCCGAGATCATGCGCACGTCCTCGTCCGCCTTCATGATCTTCTTGATCCGCGCCAGCGGCAGCTGGTGGTTCTTGAAGTCCGACGCCGACGCGCGCTCCGCCTCCTGCCGCTGGTACGCCCAGAACGCCTGCAGCTGCGCCTGCTGCTGCTGGAGCAGGTGGTGGTGCGGCACCGCCGGCGGCCCGCCCGCGCCAGGCACGCCCGGCACCGGGGCTCCGGCGCCTGCGGCCGCCGGCTGACCGGCGTAGGGTAGCTGCTGGTTGTCCATTGTCACCTATATATACGTACCTTAATTACAGTCGATTTGTAGCTGTGTGTGCTGTGTCTGCATGGGCAAAATTACGGCGATTAATTTACGTGCTAGGAACGAATGATCGCTACATGCTCCACGTATGTAACAATGGCTAGCTATACATGCAAAGTGTAAACGACGCTTGTAGGTATTGTCTGTGAGAGATCGAAGGATTGATAAGCATTTCTCAATATGTGTGCAAACTGCAAAAGTAAGTAGAGATTAGGAGACGTACTCTAGAGCTTCGTTGCTCCACATGTGCGACGGATCAAACAGATGAGAACTCGAGGCTGGCTATAGGTGGCGAAGTGCATGTGTGGGGGCTACTTATCTTCTATCCAGAGATCATATCATGCATGAAAATGAAGCTAAGCGCTTGCAAACACACAGGGTGTTCCCAAAGGAGATCTGGAAGGAGAGAAACAGGAGAATCTTCGATCACAATGAGACCTCAGTGCCTGGTCTCCTCGCAGAAATGAAGGAAGAGGCAAGGATCTGGGCCTTGGCAGGAGCAAAGCTACTCCTACAGCTCGTACACTAAACTGCTTTTCCTTTTTCTCCTTTACCCTTCGGGGTTGTATTTCTTACTGCTATATATTCACAATCTCGTGTTTGGTTCCATTCAAAAAGTTAGTTATCTGGTATATGATACCAGTAGGATTTGACGTGGTCCGACATTTCTTAATTTCATATACTACTAGATGTTTCTTATTTTTCAGAGATCCATAATTTTCCTAAACCATTACAGATCTCACCGAAACAAAAGAGGATCGAGGCCGGATGACTTCAGAATAAGTCGATCATAGCATTATGATGGCTAAGGATTGTCCTTTCGTTCAGGAAAAGTACAAAATCAAGGAAAATGCAGATAGAACATAGAACAGTGATGACTGATAAGTGAAGAGAACTAGCTACTTCGATGATCAACTTACAAAAAGCTCTAGGGAGCCAGTCAACAAGCTGTTTTCGTTTATGTAGAAGAGGGGGAAAAAGAACTCTGGTTTGCTTTTCTAGTTCAAGAAAGAAAGTGAAGGAAGAATAGAGAAGAATGATGCAGAAGTTGAAGACACTGCAAATGTAACAGAATTGACAAAAAAAAAGCTGGAACAAATCTAACTATCCATTAGAAAAAATGCAACAATAGATTCACGCATCCATGCATGTCGATCTCAACTAGTTAATTAAGTTCTTACCAGAAAGCAAAACAGGCTAGCCTGTTTGAGTGAACGAGCTCTACTGCTTCAGATATCCAAAAGTATCAGGGTAAATTAAAGAACAGCACAGCAAAAGTATCAGATGCTTCGGCACGCATGGGGATCGATCGTCAGGGGAAGCAGGAGTGCAGGACACACTCCTCACCGTCCTACCCACTGCCTAGTGCCTGAACAAAATGGCCATCTCCACTCTCAACTGGGGTTCTTGCCTTCTTGCTGCAATTAAGCTGAAAAAAATAAAATCCATGAAGTGGACGGAGACCTTGGATATCTGAAGCATGCACGTCGTTCTCAGGCTCTCGGCTGCTTGGAAGCTAGCTAGAAACAATTTTTTACAGTGTTCGCTAATACTTTCCACTCCTGCAGTACTGTCAGCATAATACCCAGTAAAATCGATGTTACTCTGAAAGTTTTAGCCAAAAAGAACAGTCTGAAAAGGGATAAACACGTTGTCTGCACCGTGACACTGTCCGTGAAAACCGATCAACGGGGGTTGTTGTTGTGTTGTGATTTGTTGTTTTTTTTGGCTTGTACCTGAGGATAAGAAAAGATGAAGGGGAGATCCGGGAGAGCGCGCATTCGTGGCCAGGCTTGGTCTTTTCGGATATGGATATTATCCGTTCTGGAAGTCTGGCAGCCTCACAAAATTCTACGCTTAGATTTGGGGACGACTGCCCCCTGCTACTGCTGGATGCGGCCGATCCATCGCCGAAATCTAAATCTGCAGCATGGCCGACTGCACGTTATGATTTCTGGCGTGTGGGGTTCACGTATCCAACCACTGCTGATGAACACTGAACAGTGCCACACGAGGAAATATCTTAGCATGGATGCATGACCAAACAGATCAGAGATTTAAATAGTACTACTGCCACTACACCAGAAGCTTGATGAAGCAGACACTCAGACAGTCAGACTTCACAGTCATACTGTTGTGAGAGATTTTTTTCGCATGTGAAATTTCGAGTGTTTCTCTAGGTAGTACGTAGTACGGAGTAGTAAAACTCCATGATTGCAAAGCTGCTGTAAATAACCTGTGTTACAGCTTTTCATAAGTTTTTTCTGCCTACAATAATTACAGTTTCTTTGGATCAGCAAAGAGATCTCATAGTTGATCACACCGTGGTCAGCTTAAAATATGTAGCATATGTTCCCAGCTCCCACAAAAAGGAAAATTTCTAGTAGCATGTTTCTGGGCCATGTTTCTGGAAAAGTACAATGAACAAAGTCAGAAGTATAACACAACCATGGGCTTAAGTTTGGACCTTTTTTTGAACTTTAAGTTTTGGGCCTTAGGCCCAAGTGAAAATGTAAATTAGCCTGTACTGGAACCTAAAACCCAAAGGAAAAAGTACACTGAAGGACCCTCAACTTGTCATTGAGTTACAAAATCATCCCCCAACCACAAAACCAGATATATTACATCCCTCAGCTTAACAAAACCGTTTACTTTAGATCCTTCGGTGGTTTTGACCCCAGTTTTATCCGACGTAGCCGCTGAGTCAGCGGGAGACCCACGTGGCCCCACATGTCAGGATGCCAACTCATCACCTCTCTGTTATTTCCCCTCCTCCCCCTTTCTCTTTCTCTCTCTCCCTCCTTCTGCTCCCCAGCGTCGAGCACCTTGTTGCACCGCACGAACACCGGCGGGATCACCAGCTCCAGCTCTGCATCCTTCGTCTTCACGACGCTCCTCTCACCTGTCAGCTCGTGGATCTCCTCGTCGGTGGTGAAGAGTCGGTACACCGCCGCTAGCCTCGACATGGCGCTCATCCACAGCCCGGGCTTGCCGCTGCCCGGCCACAGCGCCCGCCAGTTGTCGCCGCGGTACTCTAGCCTCCCGTCCTCGTTGTCGACTGGCTCCCCCGTCCGGATGTGCCTCGCAACCACGCACTCCGCGGCGACTTGGTGCGGAGCCGACGAGGAATGGGGTCGACCTACAGCCAGAGCGCCGCCTTCCTCCACAACTCCCGCAGCGAGAGCACACGAAGAGGAAGGAGGCGGGGAGGCAGGCAGCAGCTCGTTCCTCGTCGTCGTCGTCGTTCGGCGGCGACGCCGGCCGCCGGACCTCCTCCCCCCCCCCGGCGGCGCGCGGTGGAGGAAGCCGCTGCCGGCGACTTCGCCTGTAACACCGCCGCCGCCACCGCCAGCTCCCGTCGATCTCATCCTCCACGCCGTGCTCAAACGGCGGAGGATGGGGCACAGTCGTGGGCGGCGCGCGGCGGGTGCTGACGCTCTTGGGTTGCCCTGGCTATTGCTCCCAGACGAAGGGCACCATGCCGGGGTGGCGGACGGGGCCAGAGTTGAGGTCGGCCTTCTAGTAGTGGCGCACCGACCGGAGTGGTGTGCCCAGGTCCTCAGCCTCCGCCTCGTCCTCCCGCGCCTGCCCTCCCACGTACGCCGGCACGCCGCCGTGGCACGCCCGTACTGCCGCCGCCACAGGTTTCAGCTCCTAGCGCAGACGAAGACAGGCGGTGGTGGGGAAGCCGCGGCCTGCGCCGGCCGCCCGCGCGCCGCTCCGTTGCCTGCCGCCCACGCGCGGCTCCTCCCCCCACCGCCTACGCCCGTGCAGCTGCTCCCTCGTGCGGCACCCGTGAAGAAGAGAGGAGAGAGGAAGAGAGATGGAGAGGGGAGGGGAAGAAGAGGCTGACGCGTGGGGCCCACGCTGAGTCAGTTGCCGTATCGGACAAAACCGGAGTCAAAACCACCGAGGGACGTAGATTGCACTGGTTTTATAAGTTGGGAAACGCCGGATATCTGGTTTTGTGGTTGGGGGATGATTTTGTAACTCGATGACAAAGTTGAGAGACCTTCGGTGTACTTTTTCCAAACCCAAACTTACGCCCAGGATTGTGATGTACTTCAGACTTTGTCCATTCTACTTTAGCCCAAAAGGTTGTCCCTCCCATTTGACGGGCTATGTACTTTCTACGTGTCCCGGCCTGTTTTGAGTTTGTGATCGACCTGACCCGTTTAGTGACATGCTATCCACAACTCTGATACCACTCGGCCCCACATGTCGGTGACGCTGCTACCTCCCGCGAAACCCAGACGCTTCACGTTCGGATCCGAAAGCTTCGCAGCCCGGGGCAATCACGAACTGCCACCGCACCGTCACTGACATCCTGGCCCCACCCCGTCAGGTGGGGGCCCACAGCCCGCCCCCCCACCGGTGCCCCGCCGCGCCACGTCCCCGCATAATAGCACATGGTCGACAACCCCCCGCCTGTCTCCCCGTTCAGCGAGCCAGAGAGGAAACGAACCGATCGATCAGGCCGTCGCTCCGCTCGCCGCCGCGCGACGCGACGCGACGCGACACGCCGGAGACGGACGACGAGCGCTTTGCCTTCCCCGCGCGCGCGCGCGCGCGCACGGAGGCGGACGCTGGTCGGTTTGGTCGGGTGCGACCGGGAACGGCGGCCATGGCGCGCGGCGGGGGCGGCGGGTGCTGCCCGCCGATGGATCTGATGCGGTCGGAGGCGATGCAGCTGGTGCAGGTCATCATCCCCACGGAGTCGGCGCACCTCACCGTCTCCTACCTCGGCGAACTCGGCCTCCTCCAGTTGAAAGACGTAAGTCCGTATATCCGCTACCCCCGTCGATTCGGCGGCTGTTCGTGGCTGACAAATTCGCCGAGAGAGGGAGGGGGATTCGGAGTGGTGCCTGTCCCGATCGTGTCGATCTGAGGCGGGGGATCGGTTGGTAGTGCCCCGTGCTCGCGATTTCCTGGGAATTAGCGGGCGTTTCCCGTCGGCATTGTGAATTTGGGCATTGAGATTGATGTGGTGTTACGGCGTCTACTTGTTCGCTTCACTTTTTTTCGTTGAAAACCGTGATATTGTTTGCTTCACTTTTTTTCGTTGAAAACCATGATATGCAGGTTTTGCATTGGCGCGATTGGGTGACAATGTTGTTTGGAACAGAATTCACGTAGGGATACATTATTCTAATTTCGATGCAGTACAGAGTTGTCTTCTCTGTAATGCGCCCACACTAGCAATAGCAAGTTTAAAGTTACTTTTACTCTGTTAGACTGTTAGTATAAAATTGTACTCCTGTATTAGTAGATCATGGGAAATGCTGATATAGTTTGACCCTCGCAATTCTGGAACAACTCAGGATGCTGCCTTTGTTTTTTGTCCTATCCCTTAGAGGTTAAACTGATGATTTTATTTTTTTTTCCTCAGCTTAACGCAGACAAGAGTCCTTTTCAACGAACATATGCTGCCCAGGTACTTTGCTCGTTTATCTTTTTTTTATCACTTATGTTATGTTATGGCTGAGACTAATTGATAAAAAGCTTTTTACAGCATGTTGAAACTGTTATTCTCCCCTTGTTCTTATATAGCCCTTTCAGTAATGAACTAGAGTATTATCTATTGAGATTTAAAAATTATAAGATGTGACATTGGTATAAATGAGGAAAAAGTCCAAATATCCCCCCCTAAACTTTGAATGAAAGTCCATCTAGTACACTAAACTTTAAAACCGGACATCTAACCCCCTGAACTTTGTAAAACTGTTCATATTTCTATCTAAAGTTTAGGATGGTATTTGGACTTTTTAAAGTTTAGGGTGCTATATGGATTTCTATCTATATAGTATATCTCATGTTCATAGTTTTCATTACCTTACTGCCTTATGTTAATTTTCCCTGTTTTCATGCTGGGATCTACTCGTTGTGCAGATAAAAAGGTGTGGTGAAATGGCTCGCAAATTAAGATTTTTCAAAGAACAAATGTCCAAAGCTGGCATATCAACTTCTGCACAATTAACTGAAATTTCGTTGGACTTTGATGATTTGGAGGTGTGTCAATCGAATGGATTTTTCCTGATTGCATGCAGAATATAAATCTAGTATTATTTTAACACTTTTGAATAACAGATAAAGCTTGGAGAACTGGAAGCTGAACTAGCTGAAGTTAATGCAAACAATGAAAAGTTAAAGCGGACCTACAATGAGCTGTTGGAGT